AAAACTACTAGTCACCTAAAAAGCCTTAGAAAGACAGACCAAGAAAACAAAACAAGAGCAGACTAAGAGGGCAAGAAGGAAAGATAGGCATAGGGACGAGGCCCACTTAGTTAAATGAAAGTAGTTCGCGAGCGGGACTTTTGTCTTAGACCGCTCGGGTAGCTAGCAATAGATAGGAGAAACAGAAGGAAAGGCACCAACACACAAGTGTGTTGAGTGCGATTTCCTTTTGTTTCCCGAATAGCAGGTGGGATAGCAACAGAGGCCTGGGGTAGGGGGGGAAAAAGTGACACTAGACATTACTGCAGGTTCGAAGTCGGAACATGTAGTGACTCAAACGACACATGACGGTGCAAGTGGATTCAGTCTGTCAAAAAGGAATTCCATCGTTTATAGCCCGGCGGCTCGAAATTCCGTTAATTCAGTTATGGAAGTGAACACCAAGGAAACAGTTATAAGAATGAAAAACCGATGCATTCCGGAATGATAACAGCGCCTCCTTGCGGAGGGTCACACCCAGCACCCAAGTGGGAAGACTGAGCGGCTCACACTCTGACATTGGTTTTCAGTTAACTCAAGTGCCACGATGGGAAGGAAGGTGAAAAACGGTATGGTGGAGAGTCCGCAATACTTGAAGATGTTTTAACAAAAGCTGTTTCGCAAGTCTGCAGAACTCAACGGTCGAGCGAGTAGAGGAAGCGACTATAAACCTCTGGGGCCTGGAGGTCTTGAAGAGGAAGCAAGGCCAAAAGCTCAATGCGTGACTGCAGAAAAGGTTTAAAAATTGAAAGGCAGGTACGTCAGTGCTGGCCGGGCACTGATATCACATCCACTTGGTGCGGTCTTTGTTAGATGAGGCACACCAAGGGATCCTCATCCCCCTGCTTCTTTTTTGCGCGCTTTGCACATGTTAAAAAATTGACAAGCTGTGCGCTAATAGCGATACTAGGAGCCTTTAGTAGCGAAACCGGGGGCCCTTAGTAGCGTCCTTTGTGACTCAAAACCTTAGGGACAGGTGTGGACACACACACACACACCAGTTAAACACCAGACGATATCAGCACTGGGCAGTGAGGCGAATGAACTTTGTATGCTCCTGGCATCGCTACTAGGAGCAAGGGCCTTACTAACTTACTACTAGGAACAAGAAGCTCTTAGAAACAAGAACTATCGACAACTGTACCCTTTCGCGTCCATGTACAGCCCACGCGACTAACACCCTCAAGCGATCAGAACACGTGTGAGGAACGCTTCATGGAACGCTGACAATGGATCGCTTCATGGACGTGCACTGTGACAGCACAGTGTGATGTCATTTGGACGTGCATCCAATGCAGGTGACCCATATTCCAAAGGCCAAACAAGATCTTTGAGTACCCAGAATATAGAATTTCATACCTTGTTGCTGGAGCAAGGACATTGGTCGAATTGTCCAGAAAAAATATACTTCAAATAGAGTGGTTACATATACCCTTTGCCGAGGAAGCAAGATCTGCATCCAGCAGGATTTACGGGATGATTCATTCACTGACTCATAGAAATCATTCTATTGCCATCCAATCGCCTTGGCTCGAAAGAGGTCTTCCATGTGCAAGCATGTGCAAACCAGCACAGTCGAGATTTACTTGGCTTGATTTTGTGCAGGCAAAACATGTGATCCCGGTGCAAGTCCTATCGAAGAACTGATTTAAGTATACTCTAAGATTTGGCAGATGGTTGGCGCATGTTTGCCTTGCAGCACCACACAGTCATAAATGAATTTTGAGTGTTGGCCACAGCAAGTCTAGCCCCCTTTTGGCCACTAGGGGTGAGCCAAAACTGTCCGACCTTTCTGTTAGTATGGACTGATCAACCACATAGAAATGTCCAACCAGGTTTGCTCATCAGGTCATTCTGGGTACGGCCCGCACAGCCGCCTGGCGCGTGTCCCATGAGGGTTATCCATGGGGTCACAGCCATCCAATCTCGATGGTGATGCAGGCGACTCGAAGTGCTGGCGGGTGCTCACGTGTTCCTTTTGATGGGTGTGCACCTGCGAGTTCACAAACATGGGCCTTGAAGACCAGTCTTCAGACTGGAAATGTTTGTCACACTGAGCTAGTTTCCCTAGCATCAATTTGCTGTTCTTTTTGGGTTCGGGATGCACAGAAAAGGAGTATGAGAGTGTAGCCGTGACGGGCCGTGCCTTCCATTTGTCCAACACATTGTTCAGTGTTCAGTGTTCTGCACGGCAGGTTGGGGGGTAACTCAGGCCCTCCAAACCAGGGAAAAAGCGGCCGGCGGCGATTCGCTGGGTTTTACGTAACACAATTTGGACGGCATTTGATGGCACCATACCCACTTTCTCAGCAAACCCCAGCAAGAAGATCCAGGTTTCAATTAGTATGCAATAATTACTGTAATGCTCATAGGAAAGCGATTGCCGTCTATGCAGGTCTATCACTGCACTTCACTGTACTCCTGGCATGTGCTTGGACGCTGGGAAGCCCGCAAACGCCGCAAACCACCTTGCAGGCACACCGGAGCCCGCGGAAGACGAAGTGGTCGAGGCCGCTTAGTGGGTCAGGCCAAGTGTCACTTGAGGACCTGGAAAAACAACATATCAACAAACACAGAGACGACCAACAAAAGCACGGATTTTGTAATTGCAACATGGGGGTGTATATGAAAGAAAAGGAGACCCCGGAACCTTCCGATCGCCCAATGGGCTTTTGTTGTATTTCTCTTTCTCCATAGGGGTCGTTGCCTGAGAGGTCTCCCTCTTTTAATACACCCACCACACAGACTATAAGCCGACATTGGTTCTCAAGTCCCCCCCACACACACCGAAGGAGAGTGTTCCATGTGCTGTCATGTGAGAGGCGACCCCCAACCATTTTTCATGTTTTTTGGTGCGATTACCGGTCACAAGTATTCACAAGTTCAATAGCAGGCTATGACAGACCCCAACCTGACACGACATGGCTGAACTATTTTCAATTGTCCCACCAGATTGGTGACAAACACCTTGGGATGGCAATGCCCGCCCCCAAGAGAGTAGATCAAGAGGGTATCCCTTAAGCGCCTGCTTTGCAGGAATTACTACTTTACTTGGATATCGGCCCTGGGGCAAAGTGATGCAAACGCAGAGCATCCAAATGAACAGCTGCTGAGCTAAAATGGATTCATCAGATCAGTATAATCCGGTCCACCTATTAAAAAACACGGGCCCCCCCCCCCCCCTCCCCCCAAATAAGGAAACCTCGGTCGCATTTTTTCTAATAGGGGGTCCCTGAAATCGGGGGTGTCCAAAATAGGGTCACCTGGGAAGAGCTTCAAAACCAAAAAGTAAATCCGTAAAATTTTATATAAAATCCTTTATTAAACTCATATCAAAAATGCAAAAAAGCTCCAGATCGAAGGGTCTTCCTTTTCCCCTACAAAAACCTTCATTAGAATAGTGATTCTTCAGTAGACTATCAGCTAAAGCTTTCGAACGGTGATGTCGCTGTGCCATGCGGTGTTGCATGACCTCGGTGGCAAGTGCGTTTGCGTGAGTCCGTGCCATTGGGGGAAGGAAAGCCTGCTGGTGTAAGCGCGGCGTGTCATGGTGGATAGACAGGGCGGACAGAGGTTGGCAGTTACGGTTGTTTTTGGAACCTAATAAACAAAACTCCTCCAAAGTCGGCAATGTTGGTAGTTTAGTAGCGGCTTGAAAGGGCGGTAATTTAAACACAAATATAAACCGTATTTAGGGGTTTCTGACATGACTTTTTTCTAATAGGGGTCCGTTTTTTAATAGGTACCCGGGATTAGTCTAGTATAACATAGTAGAACCCAAAGCCACCCAAAGCTATGAACATTGCCCAACTCGCTTCTGAATTTCAATTCTTAGAAGGTTCTACTGCGTGTCCTCCGTCGAGAAAATAATTTCCCAGCTTTCGCATTGCAAGGCGGAGCCCGCACGTTGGGCTTGGGATGCCCAGTCTTTTCGGAACATGGTGAGTTTGAAGAGGATGGAACTAGGTAACTAGGTCAACATGGTCCTTCAGAAACTGCCTCCAAGCGGCAGGTACATCGTAGATCTTGTTGCTCAGTAGGCCAAAGGTGGCGACTGTGTAGTGGCCAAAGATAACCGGACGCACTCTCACGTTTCTGCAAAGAGACTTTTAGTGCTCAAAATCCATGGCTGCCATGGTGAGAGTTACCGGATGAACTTCAGCGAACACACCGCACCCACCAAGGCCTGGAGTGCCCCGCGGCCGCCGCGCCCGCGGCGGCGCGGCCACGGCTACGGCCGTGGGCGCCGCAGCTTCACACCATCCACGGGGACGCCACCAGAGAGGCGGTTCGGGTCGGGTTTGTGTGGCTTTGGCTGGAGATTCTTGAGAGGAGATCCTTTCAACAACCAGCTTCAGCTTCCACCAAGAATCCATCACAATCCAAAGCACGTGATAGCACGTGCACGTTTTATTAGGCTCGACGTGCTCCTTGGAAGTATACAATCTTGCAACTTGCAACAAGTGTTTTTGGCAACTCAAAACCTGCTCGTGGGCACACTGACACACTGATGCCTGCTGAAAGTACGCGGATGTTTGCTGCAATCACTCAGCAACTCGGCATGTAGCAGAAGAACCTGCAACGTTTCACGCAGCTGCTTGCAGAAGGCTCCTTCTAAGAGGAGCAAGAAGAGTCGAACGTCGAACGAGCGTTGGATTGCCCCATGTATGGGGGAGACCAAGGTCGTGAGCATCATTTACGTGCCCTGGTCTGACCTTGCCAACGGCTCAACTTTGAACCAACA